TGTGTGGGAGTCTGGGGTTTAGGGTTTAAGGGGGTGCTGTGGGTGTAGGGCTAGGGTTTGAGCAGGGGGTGTGGGAGAGGGGCGTTGGGCAGCTGGGGGAGGTTGAGGGGAGGCAGCAGTCCGGAGGCTACAATCTCCGGTAGTCGCCAGTCGCCCGTGGGTCCGTTGCTCGTCTGCCGCTACTTTTAGCCGCGGGGCCAGTTACTCCAGTAGTCCGGAGCGGTGTTCCGGTAGCCACTGAGCCAGCAGCTCGTCTGTGTGTCTGCAGCGTCAACAGTCGCCTCCCATCTTCTCATCCCCACAGTCTCTCCTCCTCCTCACCTGTCCTCTGTGATTAGCTCTAGCCTTATTTACCTATTGTCAACTCTTGCTCTATGCTTGCTCACTGTGCTGATTACACCCCACTTTGGCTATGGGGGTGTGTTAGAATATATTTGCTGTCTAGCCTGCAGTGGGGTACTCTGTAATGAGTACAACCCAATTTAGGGTATTGTACTTGTATCCCAGCTCTTGCTAGTGAAAACCCTCCTCTTTCAAAAATCTCTCGATACTTTCCTCCTCACCCTCGAACTCGATTACCTAGGCACCTAAACTATGGCTTCTAAGCCTACCTTTGCTTAACACTTTGAGAAGTAAGTATGGCACCATGCACCTGCATGATGGCATAGGGTATCGTGGGATTCTGCCGTATGAAATAACCCCGCGTATTTCGCCGCCGAGGTTCGAGTACTTCTCGCGACCTAGAACGCGTAGTGCTCATTCCGCTACGACCTAATATAGTAGCGGCTTGTCTTGTATATGCTAGGGTTTGAGTCGAAAATGAGGTAGTCGTAGGCGTCCATAAGAATCACACGGGAGTTGCCCGGCGGTAGTGAAAGGTCGCGGTATGGCACGGTTGAAGGAGATATGTTCAGCGAACATATAATGGGGTTGGACCGCATACGAATCGTAAATGTTACAGGACATATGTCGTGTTCACCAACAATATTGAACCGTATTCACAATAAGGCGGATGCGCGGTACTGAACACCCGTTCATCGGGGACATAAAAGGGTCTTATGTCGGTGTTGTTAGCTCCATCAAACAGAAACCATGTGATTTCGATCCCACAGCACAATAAGCTTAAGTATGATTAACAATACCATGACAAACTCTACTGCCCATACTCAATGTCATCAGTCACACTGGACAGGGATGCCACAGGGGAGTGGAGGCATATCTCCTTGCTGGCCGTGCTTGAGATAGACGAGGAAGGCGCGTAAGAAAACTTACGAGCCTTTTTTTCTGGTGTGCGCACAAGGCGGTCTACAAGGTCCGTGTTCCCAAAGCGCTTGACCGTGACCACGTCACGCGGAGTGACTCCCTTTGCGCTGGCGAGCCTAGTGTACGCATCCGATGCCATACGCATGAACCAACGACGAGTCCTGTCGTCCCATGAGACGGGGCCGATACTGCTGTAATTGTCCACCAGACGATTGACACGCTCGGGTACGACTTCGGCCATATTATTTTCCACCTCGTCATCCCATATCGCATAGTCCACTGCTTCCAGAACGAAGCCGGGAAGATCCAACTTGTCCAGCTTCCGCAGCAGGCCCATGAGGCTGGCTACGAGCTGCTCAACGATCTTGACATGCATGTCGCTGTTGATCACGTGTAGCTGAGACACCGACTTGTTCGGGACGCTCCCGGTGCGCCAAAAGGTGAGCTGAACGTGGGATGTCGCAACCCCTCAGAACGCCTCGTACGTCCACTGCAATGTGTTCGCGGCCGAGGGTGTTTGACTACTCCACATCCAAGCGGGAGGCACTCGCGTCATGCCCCGCGTCTGGAAGTCCACCCACATCATGCGGAATTCAGACTTGAAGAACGCCACAATGCCCTGCAACACTGGGTTACCCATGTCCGGTACTGTCTCATGGAGCTGCACGATACGAGTATGAGTGAGGTGGTGCACGCTGAAGGTCCCATTTGTTTCCCGCTTGCCCTCTCCCCAAGTGAGCTTGTGCCGACGTGATGACACGAGGATGACAATGCGGCGGTCTTCGGCGAACTTCGCTGCGTTGAGGCCTAGCATGAACTTTGTGAACAGCTGCAACAGACAACAACAAATATCGCAGAGACATTTAGAACGCACATTTTCAGGAGCCCATATACAAGTGACATAGGTAGTTATGCGACCGGAGCGTGTACGGTGGATGTACGCCCACTCGTCTCCATTCACATCAGAGCCCAGCCGTCTCGGCTCCCGATCCCGGCTCACTATGATAGGCCTAAAGCGTTGGGCCCCGTTGGCGGAATAGAGGAGGCCGATGGACAGCCTCTTCAGTTCATTCCCATTGCGCCCGTAGAATGGGTGCACATATTGCTGCAGTCCTGGGAGGAGTGTAAACTCAACAAAGCAGAAGACGCTGCTAGGAGGAGCGCCCAGGCGCGACAGGAGATCCTTTAGGGCAGCCATGGAAATGAAAAAGCGTCCGCTACCCCAAGTTGCAGCTGTTATATCCGATTTGTTCGCCGGATGGAGCGTCTGTGGTCGCGGCTACTTGACAGACCCCGACCACTGCGTCTGTTATAGGGGCACCAGAGCACCGGGTGTACTCGCCCTGCCCAGCTGTTATTGACCATCCCTGGCCACACGAGCCTTGGATTGCGCACTGACGTGTGTACATCTCATAGGCGATTGCAGTCATACACAGTTGTGATCACATGTACCCTGTATGCTCATCTGTTTGTGTGTTCTCTGCACCCTTCAGTGTTTTGGTACGGATGTAACGAGTATCCACAAATTTGGGTACATGTTTGTGTTGCTTGTTAGACCGTGTCGATCACAATTCCCGTGGAGATCTTCTTATAAAAGTATGCCTTTGTTCAGTAATTTAATCGCGGTAAAAAACTATCCCCATTATGAGTGTGTTCAGCATAATATCATAGTTGATGATCCAATGTTTCAACTTACCATTCTATATATGTCGTCCGATATTTAGCTACACCCACGTGTAACACAACACTTTGTCGCGTCGCAACGGTGCATGTCGACGAGGGGACATGTTCCTCGGTACGTTGCACGCGATTGGCAATTGTCCCTTTCGCCCAAGACCCGCTGCCAATCACGAACCGCCATGGTGGTATCCACATTCTAGAATCGCGTGAAGGAAAGGATGTCAACATCAGCGTGGTGGGAAATTGTTACTCATTGCCCTACTCCTACATATAACTGGTTCTGTCGGGCGAATGCCTATCGGATCGCTTTTTCCAGCTTAGGGTTTCGGCATCTCTAGCAATCTCTTAGTCACCGTGGTACCCAGGACCAAAGCACAGGCCGCGATACGTGGCCCTTGTAAGACTGAAGCTATGGCAACGCGTAGGCAACCGGCTAGAGGGCGGCGGGATAACACCACGATCCTAGAGTCACTTGGCAACAAGCGGCTGCGCTCTCGTGAACTGACTGACGAGAGATCAGAAGGGAGAAGCGGCAACAGTTTCTGCATGGGGCTCGCGGGTGGTAGGCGCCGAGGAGAAGCCTACGCCGAACGACGCCATCTCGGTTCTGTTGACCGCATCAAAGTCATCGACGTTCAAAACGATGTCGCTGTATAATCACATGGGCGTTGGCTATCAGGTGACGGCGCACGATGCCATCTTGCTCGCCGACAAGACATATCTCGGGGATGCCGTCATGGATTTTCATAACATGTAAGCGTTATTCTTAGCCTCCTCACTAATTGCACGCATGTGCCAACCAGCTGAGTTGCCCACTACGATGTTTATTCATCGTACTTTGCCCGCTCGCCCCCGTGCAGCCTCCTGAACATCAGGTACCCTAGATGCCTGAACGGGAAATCATGGGTGGTCCTTGACAGCAAGGCGTATGCGTATGCCAAGGTGCACAAGAAGCCGATCGGGAGATGCACGGGCCCCTCGGTATTTGAGTACGATTACATCGCCGTCCCAGACTTTGCCGGGTATGTATATGGCTTCTTCATCATTTAATACTGCATGTTGATTGATCCCGGCTAACAGTGACTCGTTTGTCATGTAGAGAGCACTTTTCGTTGATGGTGGTCACCAACGCGGGATTGTAACCCCGACGGCGGCACCTGTGGACTTCATCCTATTCGATAGCGACGCCCTCCATGCCAAAACAACGGAGGCGTTCGACGGCACCAAAGCGTGAGACTCATTGAGGAGTGCCAAACAACTAGTGTACAGCGACATTTGTGGGGGCATATGACTGTGTGGCTATCTATCGTGTAGGTTACTTCACCTCATGTGCCTGCGAGATCATCCGGAGGTGGACCCAAAGATGGCTAGGGAGGAGCTCATCAACGCCAAGACAACAACCATGCAAGTAACCATGTTGCTCGTAAAATGTTATCCCTTATGCAACGCCAACTGGTGCCATTACGTGATCGTGTTCTTATACGGTCGTCCTTGATGCCCCTATGTTGCGCAGGGTCACCAGATACCCAAACAACCTAACAGCTGGGACTACGGTATGTACATTTGCCAGTGTCTCAAAGCACTGGTGACTTCTGGTTTCATAACAGTTTGCAGGTGTATATCGTTCCGGGGAGTGAGCCCGGAGAGATACCGCCACCAGATGCGTGCCGATCTGTGCTCCCATGCCGAGGGCACACTGATTTCCGAGCTACAGCACCAGGGTCTCCGCATCCCTCTGCAGCCCGTTCCAGTTATTGACGATAACGGTTATATGTGCGTTGACCCACCGGTGGACATTCGGAGGGAGTTGCTCGACTATAAGGAGAAGTTCGCAGTGATGGAGCATGGCATACAAGTTCTTACGGCCAAAATCGAGTATCTCGTCATCCGCAAAGGTGTGACGTCAGACGAGCTGGACGCGGGAGCGCTCCAACACTTGGGTGCCGTGGGCGACACGTCGGGGGCCGACGGCGACGCCATGAAAGAACACCAAAACCGAGTACACGGCAGATCAGGGCGGCCAGCTGGACATCGCACAGACGCCTTAAACGCGTACAATGGTGTCGGTGGCTGCTATCTCACCATGCCTTGCACCGCGCACACCTGCCCAGAAAGATGGCCTGCTCCCTGCCATGAACACGACACCTGCTCTAGTTAGTCAACAAGAGCGTGGCCATCTTGCACTGGCGCTGCGCAGCCGCGATAAGGCTCCCGTGCAGGCAGCTCCAGGTAACTCTGGAAGGGCTGCAAGTAGTGGTCGTACAGGTGTAATGTGGAACGCTGCGAAGCATAGGTACTACGTCCGTATAATATCTGTTGGCAGGCAGCAAGTGCGTCTGGGGTCGTAAGAAGACAGGGACGAAGCTGCATACGCATATGCTGCGGGAGCGGTTGTCCTTCGGCCGAACTCCCGTATAAGGTGCACGGTGCAACTGTCCGACGCAGAGAGGCACGCACTAGCAGGCTGCACCGAGGAGAATTTAAGGCTACTCGTGAAGTTTCAGCGTTGGAACCGATGGAGGGAGTGGAGGGCCGCTATGGTGGGATTGGAAGAAGCGCATCCCATCGAGGCTCGTTCCAGGCGCAAGGGTTGAGTGTCAAGAGCCATCAATGATGTGGAGGAGGTGGAGGCGGCCACGCAGGCCACAGAGGACCAGCCCATGGCTGAAGAACCTGAGGACCCACCGAAGGACTATACAGATGACGAGGCGTCTGTGGACGATGACGAAGTATATGAACCAGGGAATGATGACATGGAGGAGGAGGATGATTGGGAGGAGGTCAACCATGACGACAAAGCTGCATAAGGCCATGTAATGGATAGCCAATGGACCCAACGCAATGCTAGTACCTTGCTGGTGTTGACAGACTAGAGCCCTATTCAGGTGCTTGAATGTTTGTATTGTACTTGCGTTAATGCATACTTCTAAATGTTGTCTATATGAGCAAGCTATAGATGGTTGTGGAGCAGCAAATAGCCATTATACATGTGGGCTGTGTATTCGGATGGCACTGAGCGTGGGTATGCTTATTAGCCTGGCTAGCAACTGGGTGTCAATGAGGAACAACTTGTAAAATGTCGCTATTTTTTTATCACGAATGTTTAGCGCAGGTACGGAAGTGCTTTTGAGGGTTTAGTCTCGCAGGACGCTTTACAAAGTCGGGTACAAGTTTCGCATGGCCGAAAATGGCATGTAATCCAGCAGCCCACTCCAGCCGTGACATGTGTACATATGTACTTGTGGCCAATAGTAGGCCGCAATTTCTGCGGTGCGCAATGACGGTCTCCGACTTTGCGATGTCGACGTTGGTGTCATTTCGGACAGAGTGAGAGTACAACTCTAGCTGGCCGCGCGTAAACCATTTCGCAACCGTTGAGTCTACAGTTGTCGATACTGTCTCTGAGCGAGTTTGAGATGAGTACTGCCGGTGGGGGTCATTCCATGCATGCGAAAAATGCGTCGGGGTGGTTAGCATCCTCGTATCAGTACCCGGAGAATAGGAAGAAAGGTGGACGTGTACCAGAGCCAAAGAGGCGCAAAATCACCACATCAAAGAATAGCAAGGAGGCGAAGGAAGCGAGGCACGCAGAAGGTAACATATCGTTACCCTTAGACTTATTATAATGTTGGTGTCAGCGTGATAATGCATGACATCGGTGATATAGCCCATGTAAACTTCAGCATAACACAGTGATATGTACCCCACCCGTCGTCCCAGCGACTCATGAGGTTGCGCTGCAGATACAATGCGCCGAGGATGTCGGGGGAGGCGCAGCGGATGCAGCCGCCACACCAATTATCGCGAGCGCAAACGCTGTGGAGGACGACACAGAGGCAATAAAGGAACGCCTGCTGGACTAGTTAATGGAAGGCGAGGACGACGGCGACGGGGAGGAGAGCGCCGGTGGTCAGTCTTCAAGCAACGACTGATGAGAAACGAGGATGAATGCATTGAGCAGAATGAGGAGTACAAGTAGTAAACCCTAAAGTGTTGTACCCCATATGGACTGCCAGACTACAGCCTACAAAGACTATAGCATATATGCCTGACACACCCCCATAGGCAAAGTGGGGGAGAACAAGGGGTCAGAAGACCAGTCAAGCAAAGCAAAGCAAGCTCAGGGTGGATCACAACGTCACCACACAGTCCGAGCACAAGAGCAAGGCCAAAAGGCCAGCTCACATGCAAGATCATACATAAAGGCAAACAAGCAAGTGCAGGTATAGAAAGATCACAGTACAAGCAAGGTCAAGAAGTGAGCAAGTGAGGCCAAGTAGGCACAAGACCTAGCATCGTACAGAAGCGCTGATGATCACCAGGTGGAAGTGCCATGGTAAAGATATCAGCAGTGTTGGCCTCAGAGGCCACGTAAGCAAGGCGCAGCTGACCACGCTGCTGCAGCTCACGAGCAAGGAAGTAGCAAAGAGCAATGTGCTTCGTTCTGTGCTCTAGTCTGTGCTCCCGACACAAGGCCAGCATGGCCTTGTTGTCTACGTACAGAACTGGAGGAGAACGAGGCGGCTCTCCTAGGTCAGTCAGCAGGTAGGTGAGCCACCCTAGCTCCTGTTCAGCCATGGCCCCTGCGTAGATCTCAGCCTCACAGCTGGAGCTGAGAACAGAAGACGAGCGGGTAGACCGCCACGAAACAGAGCCGGAGCCAAGGCTGAAGGTGTAACCTTGTGACGACCGCTGCGTAGCCTGGTCGTTAGCCCAAGAAGCGTCAGCGTGACCTGTGAGGACCACTCGACGTCGCCCTCAAAGCACTAGCCCCATGCCTGACGTACTGCACACGTAGCGCAACACCCTCTTCGCTGCAGCCATGTGCTCTGGTCGGTGTCTCCCAGGAGCAACATAGCGTGCCAAGATGCTAAGAGGGTATGCAAGGTCAAGTCGAGTGCAGGTCATAAGGTACATGAGGCAGCCAACAAGCTCTGGGTACGGGCCACTCGGCTCTACGGACTCATCCGAAGGCAGAGCTGAGAGCGAGTGGCGAGTAGACAGATGAATGTCCTGAGGCGAGGAGTACGTGAAGTCGAAGCGCTGAAGGACGTGCTGCACCATGTGTGACTGAGTCAAGGTAATGGTGCGCTGTGCTCTGTCCCGGGTGATCTGCAAGCCAAGATAGCTGCGCAGTTCACCCAGGTCTGTGCACGTGTGTCTCTTCTGCAGCTCGGACTTGACGTGGGCGAGTCCAGCAGTGTCAGCAGTGGCAAAGACCAAGTCGTCGACGTACACGAGGATGAAGAACGGCGGCAAAGAGGTGTTAGTGCGCAGAAACAGCGACGGGTCGGTTGTAGAAGGAGCAAACCAAAGAGCCGCAAGTGTAGTCCTCAGTGTGTCGTGCCACTTACGGGGCGCCTGGCGGAGACCGTAGACTGGCCGCCGGAGGCTCCACTGGGTACCAGGAGGAAACGACCCAGTGAAGCCAGGTGGGCGGCGCAGCCAGATCTCCTCGTGCAGGCTGCCCTGCAGGAAAGCTGTGCTTAAGTCAAGAGAGTGAAACTCATAGTCGCGCTGAGCGGCAATGTGCAGCAGCACCCGAAGAGTGGTCTTCTTCGGGGTGGGAGAGAAGGTCTGAAAGTAGTCAACTCCCTGCCGCTGACTGAAGCCTCGAGCCACGTAACGCGCCTTGAAGACAGGCGGAGAACTCGGCGGCCGCTTCAGCCTGAAAATCCACATGCCACTGACGATGTTCGCCCCAGTTGGGGGAACCTCATCGACGTAGGTGCCTATGGACTTCCAGGAAGCCATCTCTGCGTCCATGGCTGACTGCCACTGAGAGGAGTAGGGACCCTCGATCGCCTAAGCATACGATCGAGGAGTCGGGATGTCTGGTACATCCGGGTCTCCCTCAGGGGCAATCAGCGTGGACACAAGATGGGGCAAAGTAGCAGCAAAGCACTGGAACTCCTCCTGCCTGTCCTCAAGGACGTCCGTGCTAAGAGCACACTCACCCCCGACGGACGGAGGACAGACAGACTCAGACTCAGAAACGATACTAGCAGCGTAGTCTAGACGACAGCGAGCAGCGAAGGCGACAAGCTCAGCAACTAGGGCAGCCGCAGCACTGGACTAAAAGGAAGGGTCAGTGACAACTGTAGCAAGGAGACGCGTGACCGAAGGACTAGCAGCACGAAGGGAGTCCGACTCCGCGTCAGCAAGAGTAGGAAGAGAGGACTCTGGAGGAGATGGCAACGGGACACGCAGAGGAGCAGTGGAAGGACGCAACGCCATCTGATGTGTGCCGGGGACCGCAGGAGGACGCTGACGCGCAGTACGACCACTAGTGCGAGCAGCACGAACAGGCGACGCAGGACGAGACGCAGGCACACGACGCTCAGCAAGACCTCCAATAGGACCAGTGTAGGGAGAAGGTGCAGGTAGAGGGGAGGCGGGCTGTAACTGTGACTGCGACTGGACACGCTGTGGACACTCTAAGGAAGGAGCAGGACCAGGAGAGGGCGGGAGACCAAGAACGTGCTCCAGGAGCGGAACGAAGTACGGCCTCGGCCGCTCAGCGCCTCCACAGCCAGCAAGGACGGCACAAGTACCCCTAGCGGCAGTACTAGCGCCAGCAGCACCTCCAGCTCCAACAGCGCCAACTCCAGCACCCTCAGAAGCACCAGCGCCAGCAGCATCGCCAGCGCCAACACCCCCAGCAGCTCCAGCTCCAGCAGAACTAGCACCGCCAGTAGCTCCAGCACGACCAACTCCAGTAGCCCCAGCAGCACCCCCAGTCTCAGAAGCACGTCTCCAGCGGAGGGCAAACCACTCGCGCAGCTCCTGTGGAGAGAGTGGCTCCCGCCTTGACGAAGCACCGCCGGCGGCCACACGAGCAGACCCAGCGCCCCCAGGCTCGGCACCCCCAGGCTCCGCACCTCCAGGCTCCGCACCCCCAGGCTCTGCACCCCCAGACCCAGCACCCCCAGGCTCAGCAACCCCAGACTCAGCACCCCCAGTCTCAGCACCCCCAGACTCCGCACCCCCAGGCTCATCACCCCCAGACCCGGCACCTGCACGCTCAGCACCTCTAGCAGCACCAGAGTCAACACCTACCTCGACAGGCTCGACTGCGTCTACCTGGGACACACTTGACGGGGCAGGACCCTGAGGGGGGAGGGGGTCTACCGGGGGAGGACCTGGTGCAAGGAAGAGCGGCGGCGGGGGGAGTGGCGCAGTGTGGTAGGGGAAGAGACGGTAGTAAGGCACCGACTCGTCAAAGGTGACGTCCTGGGAGGACAGAACACGGCGCGAGGTGGGGTGGTAAAACTGCCACCCAGGCGGGTCAGGGGGGAAGCCAAGGAAGACGCAAGGAATAGCACGGGAGGACAGCTTGTCCGCAGACAAGTCGTGGACAAACGCAGAGATCCCCAGACCCGAAACGCAGACGCATCGCCAACCTTCCCCGTCCACCGCAAGGTGGGGGAGGTGTCTGGCAAGGAGACCCGGGGCTGAAGGTTGAGCTGATGCGCGGCGTACTGAACCGCAAACGGCCACAGAAAATGGGGGGCAGCTGCATGCATCATAGACGTACGAGCGACGTCCATGACCATGCCAATGCGGCGCTCAGCAATCCCATTTTGCTGTGGAGAGGCCAGAAGCGTGAAGGTCTGGCGGATGCCCTGTGCACGACAGAAGGCTCCCAGACGGGCAGAGGAAAACTCCCCTCCTCTGTCAGAGTGCAGACGCAGAACAGGCAAGTCCGAGCCGAAACTCTCTCTGAGCTGGAGACGAGCTGGGCGGATCCAGTCAATCAACACCTTAGTGACGTCACCCTTGCTGCGCAAGGGGAAGACTGTTGTGT